CCGGGTGCCACATCACCCCTGCCGCCCCCTCCCTCGCTGTCACACACCGGAAAAAAAAGCCCTCCTCTTGCCCGCTGCAAGACAAGCGCCCTTTTGTTCAGGGAGAAAGCACCTACCACCCCTTCGGCTGCACACACGCAACCCCCAGCCATGGAACCACAGGAAACATTCCTCCTTCCACCGACTCGGTGTTAAAATTTAACGCGGTTAAGAAGACGGCGTAAAGAAATCACCCTTCTGCACGTGAGCTCTTCGCACAGCCCGGCACAAGCGTATCCACACAACGCTGCGGGCTCCAAGGACCCTCACCAGCAGTGGTGTGAGTCCATGGCGAAGCTCTGGGCTCTGGGACTCGCTCGGGGTCACAGGCAGGAGCCAGTGCCAGGTTGGTGCTCGCACATCTCTCCCCTCGTGCAGCAGCCATACGAGCCAGGCTGCAGGGATGCCCTCGACTCCGGCAGCGTTTACCCCTGCACACAGGTGGGTACCGTCCCCCTGGTCTGGGGATGGCCATGCGGTCAGACCTTCTGGCACCTGGGGTGACCCCGAGCACATCTTAGAGCAGAAAAGATGGATCCTCCAGAGCTTTATGTCTGCAAAGCCATTCCGAAGCACATCTCCCCGTCTTTCCATCCCAAAACAACACTGCTCTTACCTGGAGGCTCTCAGCAGACAAGCTGGGTGAATATCTGGGCTCCGTCTTTCCTGCACATGGGAAGGACAGGACGGGAAATGCCTCTTCCCCCATCCAGCCAAACATCCAGCAGATCTGGCCACACGTTAAGAGCTTCTGGGAATTTGTGCTCATTTCAGGATTCAGTAAAACCTTAATCTACAGCGTAATCTCTGGGCATCACATCTGTGCAAGAGAGAGAAAAAATGGGGCAGGGAGGCTGCGTTAGGTTCTGTAAATCAAAGGCTGCAGCCTGATGCTGGCTGATTTTGGCCTGACGCTTTGCTTGGGATTTTGGAGGTGTTCAAGGAGACCCCACCAAAGCATAAGGAGCTGCACAGTCCACGGGACATCTCTCCCTCTGTCCCTGCTGCTGACTCCCAGTCGTGGAAAGCAAGGACCTTGCCGGCAGCAAAAGACACGCTCCACCCTGTGAAGGAGCAGCTCCGTTAGCCTCAGCTGAGGCTCTGTGGCTTTCCCGGGGGCTGTGAGAGGGGGCTTCCCCGCTCCAAACGCCTGTTCACATCCAGTATGGAGCAACTTATTACCTCCAAAGTTCAAACAATGCCAGTAGAGGACAGACAGACAGACAGGACATGCGCAGACAAGTGCATAGCAAGGTTGGGGCCAAGAACCCAAACACTCTGAACCCCTTGGGCTGGATGGGGGGCAGGACCAGCCCATTTTTCCAGTTCCTCCCCTTGTCAAGGAACTGAGGTTGGGGTAAGTCAAGCCTGCACGTGCCACATGTCCTACGGGGAAGGATGCTGCTGCTACCTGAAAACCAGCATCCCAAAGCCAGCACGTTCCGGTGCCCGGACTCACTGGAGCTGCACAAGGAGATGTGGGGCATGGGGCAGCACTGTCTGCTGAGTCACCCTGGCCCCACGAGGAGCAAATATTCCCAAATCCCTCCTGGAGATGTTAAGAAATCCTCTCTCAGCTGGGAGGGGAGGACCGGCTCCTCCAGCAGCTCCTTGCCCAGGAAGGACCAATGCAGCCTGCAGCCCTCACGGCTGACGCTGAGCGGACTGGACTTGGGATGCACACCCTCACCACAAATAACAGCATCTCCCAAAAAACCCAAGCACCATAAGGAAGCCACTGAGGCCCAAAGCAAGGCAGGCCCGCCGTGCCGCCGCTCTCCCCCTCCACGAGAGCCGAATCCCCAACAAACTGATGGCGAGGTTTCCTTTGCCGTCGGTAAGCGATGTCTCACATCCTCTCCGACCATAATGGGCTAAAAAACACAGTTCCCCTGTGGATTCAGCTCGTTTCCTTCTATTCTTTAACAGGAAGCTCTGGGAGAGTCAGCCCAGGCAGGCAAATCGCTCCTCACCCTCTCGTCCCTCCCGGGATGGACAGAGCCTTCGTGGGGCTGCAGAGCCACAAGCCACTGAGAAGATGTTGGCTCCGTCCGTCCATCCGCTCCTCTGGCTGTTCGGCTGCGTGCTGTTCCGAGGTGAGATGCTCCACTCGCTCCCCGCGTAGGGTGAAGCTGGACGGGGGGATGTGGGGAGCCCAGCTTCACGAGAGGCACCAAAGGGAACGGGCTAGAGGTTCAAACGTGTAGTAGCTGCCATCAGAAAGCTCAGCCTTTAAATTCAGGGGTGGCAGGAGTCAGGTTGCTGGGAAAAATGCTGCTGTACTAGGTTTACAGGGTTTATTTGATGGTACTGGAATAAAAGAACCTGTTTCCTGGTTAACAGCAAGAGTGTTTCTGCTGAAGGTTGCGATGCTGAGGCATTTTTTAGTGAGTGACTTTTGTCAAATAAGCATAAAGGTAGAACATTTAAATGTACAGGACGCAATCTTCCTCCAAGGTATTTTTCCCTTGGCTGATTTTAATTTTCCTCTTGTGTCGACAGAAACACAAAGACCATGTGCAAGACTCATGCAGACCATGCTTAGGGACATGGCTGAGTGGTGGGCTTGGCAGTTTCAGGTTTATGCTTGGACTCGATGATCTTAAAGGTCTTCTCCAACCTAAAAGATTTTATGATTCTATGCCTTGTCCTCACTGTAGTAATTCTGCTCTAACTTCTCTTTCCCACGTGGGTCACGGTGCGGGGTGAAGGAACCGGTTTCCTGCTTTGAAGGGTGACAGGTTGTTTTTTCCTGCATCATCAGGCACCTTTTGCATTGCTGACAGCTGTAGCAGCTAGGGCCTGCAAAGCAACCAAAGGAATACAGACTGCAACATCATTGCTGCTTCTAATAGACAACACCTAAAAATCATGTGTCTCCAAAGTTTTTCGAAGTTGCCTATGGGTTATAGCCAGTGTGCTGGGAATAACAGGATTTTTAAAAGGCAGAGAACATAGAAAACAGTTCAGTTAGTTGCTGTGTAATTCTGAGAAGTAAGAGCACACGGATTGGAAAACTCATTTACTAATTAGGGGCGATACTGCTGGCTTTGGCAAAGGGGCAAATTGTGCCTGGTATCAGACAAGGGGCTTTGAGGCCCCTTGGCCATACTCCGATGCTCTTAGGGCCTGCCCAGAACGCTGTTTTTTCCTTAAAACTACTTGGTATGCTTTGCACGGCACAGGAAT